CATGGGGCGTAAGTAAATGTACATATTATACTATGTATTTGAGCACGTTTCCCGACCTAAAATAAGTACCTCCTCAGCAACAGACCTCGGTGGTGAGATTACTGGCCTTTAAAAATGGAAGGGCAGCTCGGTCAACATAAGCAGAAGTCCTGCATGTAAATTAGACAGCCGAGGTTTCAGTAATGGCCATGGCAACGGGAAAACAGGGCTTCTGGTCCTTTAACCAAATGCAGCAGAAAGAAACTACTGCAGCAGCCGCCTTCCGAAGACCCTTTATTCCTCCACTATTCTCTCGCGACAAGTCACCTCTGTCGGACTTAACTACCTATGCATGAAAATTTAACACTGTCATCAGTCTTCCAAGTAAGGACCCGTTCTCACGGTTCCTATTCCCAATTAGGACCTTGGTGCCGGGTGTCAACACCCGGCGTTTGTGATTTATAACTAAAGCTGATTCACCCCGGCTTCCGTAGAAGCGTCCGTAGAAGCGGTTTTCTAGGTAACAGGTCTTTCAGTTTCAGCCGAGAAAGTAAACGGGGAGGCGCGGGGGTGGGGGTGGGGGGGGGAGGAGTGAGGTGTCTATTCGAATCCCCGAGGTATATTGTCTGAAGCGCAAAGCAAATACATTCAGACACGCTTTAGGCATTTGTTTTTTCCTGAAAAGAGAATGTGGAACTCACTCTGCTTTCGCATTCCCTAAGCCTGTACACCACGCCGGTTGTGCTCGCCGCTTCGCCGGAACCTTTCATTCAGGCAGGAACTGGCCACCCCGAGAGGGGGGGAGGTCCTCATTTTGAAAACAGGAGCGGGCCAATCAGATGCGGAGCGCCGTTTGGCGCTGGCGTTCAAGCTGGGCTGGGGCTGCCGAGGTGCGGTCGCCGCGGTGCTGATGTGTGCCGGGAAGGTGGGGCGGAGGCATGAACCGAGCCACTGAGCGTTAGCGGGCGGGGGGCCGCAGGCAGGCTGATGGGCTAAGGGAGAGGCGGCGTGTGAGACGGGGTGACGGCAGGGACCAGCCCGGGCGGGGACCGGGACTGGAGCGGGGGGGTCCCCGAGCAGCCGGCTGGCCCGGCTGGAGGGACGGGGTTAAGGTTGCGGTTCCATCTCAAAGATCTGAGCAGTCAAGGCCATCCATCCTGCGTGGAAGAGGACAGGTGGAAGTGTCCGGAAGCGTGAGCAACCAGCAGCAGGCGTGGGTCCCAGGAAACGGAAGAGTCCAAGGAGAAAGGGAGGTGTGTGTAAGTAGCTGACAGGGCCGAGTGACCCGGAAAGAAGGTCGGTGGAAGTGAAACGAGTGAAGTGTGGCCGGAGAGAAGAAGGTCTGTGGAAGTGGATAGAGGATCGAAGGAAAGCGGTGGAAGTGGCCGGGGCCTGGGGCCGGAAGGCAGCGGAGCCGAGCTCAAGCCTGAAGGTGTTTGGAAATTGGAAGACTTGGTGGCAAACGAAAGTCGGGACCCGGAGTCGGCCTCGGCGAGTGGGAGACGTGTTCGGGATGTGGGATCAGAGGTTGGTCAGATTGGCCCTGCTGCAGCAGCTTCGGGCTGTCTATGGCATTAAAGTCAAGGGTGGCCGCGGGCAGTGTGATCGCAGGAGACACGAAACTGCAGCTACGGAAATAAGGGTAAGTTAAAACGTGTAGGGGCAGGGACACACCTCGTTTTTTCTGGATAAGAAAGACGCGTGGTTACAAGTGTCAGATTCAACCTGTGTGGTCGTTTGTCTATGTTTAAGGATTTTTTTTTTCCCCTAGAAACTTTTCAGCATTGAAAACTGCATTATTTTCTTGCTGTAGCGCTGTTTTGGACCAGAACGATGCTAGATGTTAGTAGCCTCTGTTGTGACGATCAAACGCGCCTCCTTATAATGCCGATTTATTTTTGCGATGCTAGGAATGGGATCCTGGGTCTTCAACTTAAACGCTGTACTACTGACCTGATAATTGTGTTTTAAACAAGCAGTATGTGGGGAGGGAAACAAACGACCTTCTGCCGGACTGGGTTGGGCAGTCAGGGCATTTCAAAACGAATCATGAGAAACTCAGCCTAAGCATTAGAAATAGGCTTCATGTGATCTTTCTATATTCAGCAACTTAAGAAAAGAGGCCTGCTGCCTGACCACATCACACTTCCTGGTCTCTTTAGCAGTATAAATGTTAGCTGCCAACATCAGCCCTAGACTGAAGTAAGCCTGGTTTTTATGGGTTTTTTAATAAGCAAAATGAGAATAGAGTGAGTTGAAGGTTTGTGTGTTTAATGATTTGTCACTGAGTGCATATTTCTAAAGCTTCAAAATCCATCCCTCCAATTACTTTTGTGTGTGCACAGCTCATTTATGCCATGAGCATGCATCTGGAGGTCAGAGGACAACTTGCATGAATTAGTTTTCTCCTTCTGTTACGTGTGCCTTGGGGATCAAACTCAGGTTGTTAGGCTCGGCAGCAAATGCTCTACTCACCAAAACATCTCACTGCCCTGCCCCCCTCTTTGAACTTATTGGTGGGAATTTGGGGTGAGATTTTACTCTTTATTGAGTAATCAAGACTTTCATTGTGAAGAACTGATTATAAAGTCATTTTTAAAGTATGTGGGTAATTTATTAGTACTTTGTAGTATTTGAAGACAAAAACTAATAAAATTAATTTGCATAATTTTGTTGTTTGATAAAGGAGTATTGTGTAGCCCAGACGGACCTTGAACTCATTAGCTAAAGTTGTCTTCACCTCCGTAGTGTTGGGATTAGAGCTATGTCACCACACCACACCCATGTAATGTTTGTTTATGGTTAAAAATTACAGTGGTTACTTGGGTTGGTAAAACTGTCTTTCCACAATCCTCAGTATAGGTATTTGCTTTTTTTCTTTCATTCCTTAACCGACAAATCCGGACACTTGCTTTTAGAGACAGGCCAGAGTTTTGACTCTTGCTTTACAGTTAGTTAACTGTGAATGTGGGCTGCTTGTTGGTTCTCACTAAGCTTCAGTTCCTTATTCTATAAAGTGGTAATTCCTGGTAAGTTCTGTAGGTAGGTCTAACACAGTACCTGCCGCTTGCCACCTATTCAACTATGAAAATTATCCATGTCCTAATTAACTGTTACGTAGTATAAATTCAGCTATGAATGCTAGTAACATATTTTAATGAGATACAGTTCTTTCTGTAACACGATGACATAAGATTCAGATTCAGACATAAGAGACAGAGAATGTTATGATGATTCGATTAAGGTTGCACAGCTAAATGTTAGAAAAGCCAGGGTTTGAAAAGTGTCAGTCTTGCCAATGGGAACCTGATTTCTAACTGTTCTTGACTGGGTGGTCTTTTTTTGCTTGGAATATTTGTCAGAACAAGCCAAGTGATAGAAAGGGGACTAGTAAAATCTCATTATTGCATTGAATCACGAGTACAAAAACACCAAGATAAAACCACTGCCTTCAAATAATCATGAATAGTGCCTACTGATCTCAGTCAGAAGTACTTGAAGAGCAGTTACAGAGAGCAGGTACGTTTGAACTAAATCAGCATGAGGTTGGGGACACTGATTTAATTTTGAGTCTGCAGATGTATACTGCTTGACTTTGAATCCAGTGGAAAGTCACAGTCTTCATGTGGCACGTTTTTTAGGAAGCTCACAATCACGTAGGAAGATAGTGGCAAAAACCACCCAAAACACAAGTGGGATCCTTGGTGTTGTAAACTGAATGTGTATTCTTTAAAGTGAGTCTCAAGGTAGCTGATGAAAATTGTCATAAATGTTCACAGTCTTGGCCTTATGTACCTCAGGACACAATTGAAAAGCACTCCGCTGTACAGCATAGGAAAGTTGTAAGGTCTAAAAATACCCACATCTGATGCATTCTAGGAAGGACTCAAATGTGACAGGAGTTCATTTCGTGTTTTACTTACCAACTGACTTAGTCTTTTGTGTGAATTAGTAGGACAACTGGAGAAATGTATAAATAAGGTCATTGAAGAAATGTAGAGCATGGGGAGGTGTTAATATTTGGACTAAATTTGGTCTAAGAATTAAACACTAATTGTATCAGTTTCCCATAATGAGGTCAAAGACTGGCTGAATGAACAAGATTATTTGAAGGCAATGGTTTTATCTTGGTGTTTTTGTACTCAAAAAAAAAAAAAAAATCTAGCTTCATGTCTTGTAGGAGATACTTGCTAGTAAATATACTTCAAATAATTGTTTTGTATTGATTGATAGCTTGGAGTTAATTTCTGATAATGTTTTCCTTCCTAAGATCTTTATTTGCTGAATGTTAAAGATTTTATTTTATGCCTAATACTGTGTTGAGTGACTGTGTTTGTCATTTTAGGGTAAGATATTTGGAGTTCCTTTTAATTCATTGCCTCATTCAGTTGTTCCAGAATATGGACACATTCCAAGGTAAGCAGTCTTCAAAATGAAGAGAATATTTCACACGGGTTTTAAAAATAGTTTCAAAGGTTTCAAAAATACTTGATTGATGCATACATTTACTTAAAACCCCATTATTTCATTTCTGAACATTACCTATTATAAAAAATAAAAACATCGGGCTAATAAGATGACTTAGTGGGTAAAGGTGCTTGCAGCATAAGCCTGGTGCCAGCCCCATGTATAAAGGTAGAAGGCGAGAACCCAGCTTCACAGAATTGTTCTTTGGCCTCCACCATGGGTGCTGTGGTACACTCACTCACACATTCACATCATACACTTGCTGCTCTAACAGTTTAGAGTCTTAGATCCAGGAGTACTGACTGAAATTTGTTGTAATCTCTGGACTGCTGTAAGTAAACAAAAACAACAAAAACAGCTGGCTGTCATTTACCCTCCTCTAGGACTGACATTCGGGCACTCAGTGTCAGTACAGCTCTGTCATTTCGTGTAGCTGGCATACTTCCTAATTTTTTGGTGCCAGCTGTTGATTCTAATGTTAACATTGTTGAGATCAGTTTATAGGTAAAATTGAACCTTCACCCCTTAACATGAGAATGATTATAAGGACAGAGAAGGAGTCTACTTTTCCAAGAAAAAAATGTTAGAATGAGGAAAACTTGGTGTTTGTGGGGAAATGTAGGCTGATAGCTATGTAAAGCTATGCATACTGTACCAGGTCACCACCCATGGAGAGACCATGGGTAGAGAAGGCCTTGGGCCAGGCAGGCATGGTGGTGAATACTTGCAATCCCAACACTTGGCAGATGGAGACTGACAGTCAGTCACTCTGGCTACACAGCAAGTGTGAGGCCAGTCTAGGCACACAGAACTTTGTCTTCAAAAAAGACTTTGAACAAAGCCCAAAGTCATTCCACATGGAGACACTAAGTAGAAGAGGAGGAACTTAAAAGGAGCTTGAGAAAGAACAGTTTAGGGAGATAGCAAAAAAACTTGAGGAATGGTGAAAAGGACGTTTTTGATCAGGGGAGCGGTTGGATGTGTCATGTGTCGATGAGTTAAGCCTTACCAGGAGACAATGGATTGACAGTTGATTTGGTGAGACAAAGGGCATTGGTGTCCATGGAGTAGTGAGGATGAGTGTGTGCCGTCGAGGGTTAAGTAGAGGTGGGGATGTGATAAACAAGGCGAGTCTTGTGTTATGAAGAGAGGTAGAAAAGAATATGGATTTGATAGGACACATTTGTGTTAAACAGAGAAAGCCTGAAGTGTGTGAAGTCCTAATGAGTGTGCTGTTCACATGGGTACAATCATGTCAAGGACCCTATATGGAGAAATGGAAAACCTTCCTACAGGCTGAGGCTCAGAGGGAAATGGCAAAGCCTTCTTTGGGGGACTGAGGACAGGTGTTCACAGTGTGTTGAGAAAATGTCCACTATAGCCCTCCACCCCACCTGGAATGAAAACTGATGTTCTTCAAAAACTGCTCCTCTGGAGAGTAGCTAAACTTGCCTCCTTGATCCAGCTGTATACTGTAAATCCTGCCTTTTTGTTTATCTGTGTGTAGTAACCCTGTATGCTTGTTCAGCAGTATGCAATAACCTCACCTCCCTGTTCGGGTCTATATAATAAACACACTGAGCATGAGCAGGGGGCTAGTCCACCTGACCCCAGCTCTTTGTGTCTGTCTTTTCTTCATTCTTTTGCCACCCTTTGTCAGTTCTTCCTGGAGCTTTGCTGGTGTGGCACACATTGATGCTGCCCTGAGTAAAGCTATAGACCTTAGAGAAACAGTTAGAAGCAAGGAGAAGAACAAGTAAATATTTTGTTGCAAGGATCGAGCGGATTTTGGCATTAGAACAGGCTGCTTATGTATTTGCCAGTAAAATGAGGTTATTGAGGTGTGTATCTGGACCCTTGAAAGAACATGACTTCTCTTTCAGCTTTCTTGTTGATGCATGCACATCTTTGGAAGAGCATATTCATACAGAAGGGCTTTTTAGGAAGTCAGGATCTGTTATCCGTCTAAAGGCACTAAAG